AGCCGCAAGTGTAGTCCTCAGTGTGTTGTGCCACTATGCCTGGCGGAGACCGTAGACTGGCCGCCGGAGGCTCCACTAGGTACCAAGAGGAAACGACCCAGTGAAGCCAGGTGGGCGGCGCAGCCAGATCTCCTCGTGCAGGCTGCCCTGCAGGAAAGCTGTGCTGAAGTCAAGAGAGTGAAGCTCGTAGTCGCGCTGAGCGGCTATGTGCAGCAGCACCCAAAGAGTGGTCATCTTCGGGGTGGGAGAGAAGGTCTGAAAGTAGTCAACTCCCTCTCGCTGACTGAAGCCTCGAGCCACATAACGCACCTTGAAGACAGGCGGAGAACCCGGCGGCCGCTTCACCCTAAAAATCCACATGCCACTGACGATGTTCGCCCCAGGTGGGGGAACCTCATCAACGTAGGTGCCTGTTGACTTCCAAGAAGCCATCTCTGCATCCATGGCTGGCTCCCACTGAGAGGAGTAGGGACCCTCGATCGCCTCAGCGTACGATCGAGGAGTCGGGATGTCTGGTGCATCCGGGTCTCCCTCAGGGGCAATCAGCATGGAGACGAGATGGGGCAAAGCAGCACCAAAGCACTAGAATTCCTCCTGCCTGTCCTCAAGGACGTCCGTGCTAAGAGCACACTCACCCCCGACGGACAGAGGACAGACAGACTAAGACTCAGCAACGAGACTAGCAGCGTAGTCTAGACGACAGCGAGCAGCGAAGTCGACAAGCTCACCAACAAGGGAAGACGCAGCAATGGACTCAAAGGAAGGGTCACTGACAATAGTAGCCAGGAGACGCGTGACAGAAAGACTAGCAGCACGAAGAGAGTCAGACTCCGGGTCAGCAAGAGTAGGAAGAGAGGACTCTAGAGGAGGCGGCAACGGGACACGCAGAGGAGCAGTGGAAGGACGCAGCGCCATCTGGTGTGTGCCGGGGACCGCAGGAGGACGCAGACGCGCAGTACGACCACTAGTGCGAGCAGCACGAACAGGCGATGCAGGACGAGACGCAGGCTCACGACGCTCAGCAAGACCTCCAGTAGGACCAGTGTAGGGAGAACGAGCAGGTAGAGGGGAGGCGGGCTGTAACTGTGACTGCGACTGGACAGGCTGTGGACACTCTAAGGGAGGAGCAGGACAAGTAGAGGGCGGGAGACCAAGAACCTGCTCCAGGAGCGGAACGAAATACGGCCTCGGCCGCTCAGCGCCTCCAGAACCAGCAAGGACGGCACCAGTACCCCCAGCGGCAGCACCAGTGCGAGCAGCACCTCCAGCTCCACCAGCGCCAACTCCAGCTCCCTCAGAAGCACCAGCGCCTGGAGCACCACCAGCGCCAACACCCCCAGCAGCTCTAGCTCCAGCAGCACCAACTCTTGTAGGACCGTCAGCTCCAGCAGCCTCAGCAGCACCCCCAGACGCACCAGCGCCAGTAGAAACACCAGCGCCAACACCCCTAGCAGCTCCAGCTCCACCAGCACTAGTACCGCCAGCAGCTCCAGCAGGACCAACTCCAGTAGCCCCAGCAGCACCCCCAGTCTCAGCAGCACGTCTCCAGCGGCGGGCAAACCACTCGCGCAGCTCCTGTGGAGAGAGTGGCTCCCGCCTCGACGAAGAACCGCCGGCGGCCACACGAGCAGACCCAGCGCCCCCAGGCTTGGCACCCCCAGGCTCCGCACCTCCAGGCTCCGCACCCCCAGGCTCCGCACCCCCAGACCCAGCACACCCAGGCTCAGCACCCCCAGACTCAGCACCCCCAGTCTCAGCACCCCCAGTCTCAGCACCCCCAGACCCGGCACCCGCAGGCTCAGCACCTCTAGCAGCACCTGAGTCAACAGCTACCTCGACACGCTCGACTGCGTCTACCTGGGACACACCAGATGGGGCAGGACCCTGAGGGGGAAGGGGGTCTATCGGGGGAGGACCTGGTGCAAGGAAGAGCGGCGGCGGGGGGAGAGGCGCAGTGCGGTAGGGGAAGAGACGGTAGTAAGGTACTGACTCGTCAAAGGTGACGTCCTGGGAGGACAGAACACGGCGCGAGGTGGGGTGGTAAAACTGCCAGCCAAGACCGTCAAAGGGGAAGCCAAGGAAGACGCAAGGAACAGCACGGGGGGACAGGTTATCCACAGACAAGTCGCGGACAAACGCCCGAGATCCCCAGACCCGAAACGCAGACGCATCGCCAACCTTCCCCGTCCACCGCAAGGCGGCCACAGAAAATGGGGGGCAGCTGCATGCATCATGGATGTACGAGCGACGTCCATGACCATGCCTATGCGGCGCTCAGCAATCCCATTTTGCTGTGGAGAGGCCGGAAGCGTGAAGATCTAGCGGATGCCCTGTGCAGGACAGAAGGCTCCACGACGGGCACCAGAAAACTCCTCGCCTCTGTCCAAGTGCAGACGCAGAACAGGAAAGTCCGAGCCGAAACTCTCCCTGAGCTGGAGACGAGCTGCGCGGATCCAGTCGATCAACACCTCAGTGAGGTCACCCTTGCTGCGCAAGGGGAAGACTGTGGTGTAACGAGAGTAGTCGTCAACCACCAGCAGGAAGTACCGCTCGCGCCTCTGCCCACTGACGCGGGCGGGGCCCCACACGTCCATGTGGAGAGTCTGCAGCGGAGCCTCTGTCGGAGGTAACTCGGAGGAGTGAGGGGCGGCGTGCTGTCGCCCCTCGATGCAGGGGACGCAGGTAGGGCCAGGGCCCGGAGGTAGGGGAGGGAGAGACCGAGGGAGACCAGAGACAAGGACACGGGAGGCCATGCCTCGGAGACGAGGCAGGGAGGGGTGACCAAGGCGGTGGTGCCAGAGGAAAGTCTGGTGGGACAGTAGACGACACGAGCAGGGAGCCGACTCAGGACCAGACCTGGACGCTGCAGCAAACACCTGACTCGACGCAGCTACCTGGGCGGACTCAACAGACGGAGGAGACTCAGTAGTAAGGGTGTACAGGCCCGACCCTGGCCGACGGGTGAACGTGGCCAAGTGTCGGCCTGTCCGAGCACACGTGCAGTGGGTCACTCGCTGACTCGCAGGAGTGAACGGGTCAACCCCCCTATCGTGTAGGTCCGCTCCACTCACCAAGTTCGTAGAGAACGAGGGGAGGTAGAGACCTGACAGGGTGCCAGAGGGGGGTGCCGGGAACGGTAAGATAGTGGAGAAGCTAGCAAGGACAGGACCCCCAGAGGGGTCCGCCAGGAAGACTGCAACCGGCCGGCTGAGCGGCGTAAGAGTGGTGCGGTCTCGAAAGAAGGAGCGGGAAGCACCCGAGTCAAGGGTGAAGGTGTGTAAGGCCTGAGCCGACGTAGTACTTGAGAGAGCCAACTCACCAGCACCTGGGGTAGCAGACGCACTTGCACCTAGAGCAGCAGCCTCACCAGCACCTAGAGAAGTGGCCACAATGCCCGGGTCAGGCGGTACATACAGGTAACAGTCACCCTCAACACTAGTGGACACAGAATATATGGCAGCAAGGATAGCATCAAAGATAGCAACCTCCGTCCTAGACAGATCAAAGATAGCAACCTCCGCCCTACACAGATCTCCCCAGCGAGGGATCTCTGACGCCTCAGGGAAATGGCGACGCCACGCGTCCGTCAGGCGACCAAAGCAGCGCTGGGTGGAGTGTGGGCCCCCGCATTGCTCACCAGCTCGGTCGCCGGTACGGAGGACGTTAGTGCAGGGACCAGTACCCCCACCGCGCTGACGCGCAGCGTACCACTCACGAAGCTGCTGAGGGGACAGGGTCACACCACTCCGCTGCTGCTGGCGCGGACCACCACCTAAGCCACTCCTCTGCGCAGAGTCGCGACCCGCTCCACCACCGCCACCGCCGAAGCCGCCGCTTCTGCCGCCGCCTCCGCCGCCTCCTCCACCCCCGCCTCCTCCACCACCTCCGCCGCCTCCGCTCCCTCCGCCACCACCGCCGCCTCCTCCGCCTCCATTGCTGCCGCCGCCGCCGCCACCCCCGCCACCACTCCCACCACCACCACCTCCACCGCCCCCGCCAGCCCCTCCAGCGCCCTTGCCCCCCTTGCCCTTGCCGGTGCGGCGTCTCCCGCTAGGGGCAGACGCAGCGCCGACCGACACGAAACCAACAAGGTCGGCCGCAGCAGGAGAAGCAACAGAGGGCAAGAGGGGGGAGGGGGAACACCCCTCAAAGGCGGGGGTGCGAGGGTCACCACGAGAGGCTCCTACAGTGACTATGCTCTTCTCTGCTGCTAGGAGGCCCTTCTCGAGGATGTCAACGGTGAGAGTGGTGGGGCAAACTGAGAGGAAGTGGTCCCTGACTACGCAAAGAGAGTCAGGGAGCCGGGTGACTATGTAGTAGAGGGTGATGTACATGGGGGAGGGGGGGTTCTTGGCTCAGAACTCAGCAGGAAGCGCAGCGCGGTAGCGAGTGTCACTAGTGCAGAGGTGCGTTATGAGGTCAGCGACTGTGGGAAAGGCAGTAAGGTCAGGGAAGAGGTACGGTAGCATGAGGCGGCTCAGTGCAGCAGTGGCAGGGGAAGAGTAGCGTGCAACTACAGTGTCGTACAAGGTCTGAGCACTCTTGTACTGGCTAAAGTGTGCACGCTCAGTGGTCGGTAAGTGACGACGCACAGCAAGGCGAGCAGCAGCATCGCGTGTGGCCCACTGTGAGCGAACAGTGCTGTCAGCAGAAGTAGGCGGGGCAGGAGAGACACCAGAGGTGAGATCGAATAGAGAGAGTCCGTCTGCCCTATCGCACTGTCCGAGGAAGGAGGGCCGGGGAGCACCGGTAGGAACAGCAGCGGCTCGACAGTAGGGCGGCGCGGCGGCTCGGTGGCAGGGCGGCTCGGCTGCTGGGCGGCTCGGCTGCTGGGCGGCTCCGGTGCAAGGCGGCTCGGCTGCTGGGCGGCTCGGCTGCTCGGCGGCTTGGCTGCTGGGCGGCTCGGCTGCTGGGCGGCTCGGCTGCTCGGCAGGTGGTTGGCTCGGCTGCTGGGCTGCACGGCGGCTCGGTCGCTGGGCGGCTGAGCGGTGACAGGGCCGCTAGGGGAGGGCGACGGGGCCGCAGGTGACGGCGACGGGGCCGTAGGTGGCGGCGACGGGGCCGCAGGTGGCAGCGACGGGGCCGCAGGTGGCGGCGGGGCCGCAGGTGGCAGCTGCGTGGCCGCAGGTGGCGGCGACGGGGCCGCAGGTGGTGGCGATGGGGCCGCTGGTGGCGGCGACGGGGCCGCAGGTGGCTGCGACGGGGCCCCAGGTGGCGGCGGGGCCGCAGGTGGCGGCGGCGTGGCCGTAGGTGGCGGCGACGGGGCCGCAGGTGGTGGCGACGGGGCCGCAGGTGGCGGCGACGGGGCCGTAGGTGGCGGCGACGGGGCTGCAAGGGGCCTAGACGGGGCCGCGGAGGGGCCGTAAGGCCTAGACGGGGCTGTAGAGGGGTCGCAAGGGGCCTAGACGAGGCCGAAGAGGGGCCGCAAGAGGCCTAAACGGGGCGGCGACGGGGCCGTAAGGGGCCGGAAAGGGCGCCGCGAGGGGCCGAAAGGGGCCGCGCGAGGGCCGTAAGGGCGACGCGAGGGGCCGTAAGGGGACGTAAGGGCGGTGCGAGGGGCCGTAGAGGGCGGCGCTAGGGGCCGTAAGGGCAGCCAAAGGGGCCGTGAGAGGGGCCACTAAGGGCGGCTCGAAGGTAGGGAGGGCACACAGAGCGCGAATCGGGCAGGATTGAAGCGCGCTCCGGGCAGAAAAAAAAAAAGTATCGTGGTGGGCCCTAGGTAGCGTTCCCACTAGGGAACCAGCTCGATACCATGATGAGAAACGAGAATGAATGCATTGAGCAGGAAGGGGAGTACAAGTAGGAAACCCTTAAGTGTTGTACCCCATATGAACTGCCCCACTACAGCCTAGACATACTATAGCATATATGCGTGACACACGCGTGACACCGCCCTGGAGTTCGGCTGTGGACGAGAGTCGCTGGAGCTGGTCGGCTACATGGACGCCGACGACGTCGGTGACAAGCAGAACTGGATGAGCCAGGGTGGCTATGTGTTTGTCTACATAGGGCCTGCAGTCTCCAGGTCGAGCCAGCGCATCAAGTGCGCGATGCTGTCGCCAACCGAGTCGGAGTACGTGGCGGCCACTGAAGCCTGCAAGGAGGGACGTCGTCTTTGCTTCCTCCTCGCAGAGTTCTAGCAGCTTGATGACGGGAAGCCGACCATTCTTCGGGTGGACAACAAGTCGGCCATCACGGTCGCCGAGGGCATGGGGTTGATAGGCAACCTCAAGCACATGGAGCGGCGACTAGCCTGGCTGCAGCACATGGTGAAGCGTGGGAAGTTTTCGTTGAAGTACATCCCGACCACCAGCCGGCCGACTTTCTAACGAAGGCGCTGCACTATCCGGCCTTCAACCTGTGCTCCGTTGTAATCGGCCAAGTGCGTCTGGCCGACGTGAGTGACGGTGATGATGATGTGCAGCAGTAGGTGCCATGCCCTCTTGCATGGCTGGTGCGGTAGATGACGTGCTGTGTGTTGGGTGCACGTCGACGAGCTATTCTCCGAGGAGTACCGCCGTGTGGGCTGGCAGAGGAGTGTCAACGGGAGTTGTGTGTTGACCTCGTCCTCGCTTGGGCGCAGTCGACTTCGTGGTCGGGTGTGAGGGGAGCAGCCAACCTATAGCAGTGGACGAGCTGGTTGACGAGGAGGTCGACTTGCACGGGGGCCACTGCACGGGCGCCGACTTCAGGTTCGTGCCGACTTCGGAGAGGTCGACCTCGGAAGTCAACGTGCGGAGGGCGTCGACTTGGTGACGCCACCTTGGGGCAGCCGACTTGGGTGGTCGGCTGACAAGACTGCTGGTCGACTTGGTGGTTGGTCAACCAGGCGTAATGTCGACCTGGTGGTCGACCGAACATGGTGGTCAACGAAGGAGGGGCCGACGTCGACCTCGACAAAGGGATTCAGGACGCCGAGCAGCTGGGCGTCAACTTGGTGTCGCCGACTTCGGGTAGCCGACTTGGATGGTCGGTTGACAACTGTGCTGGTCGACGTAGAGCTGGTCGACCAGTAGTGACGTCAACCTGGAGCTGGTCGACCAGGGGTGTGGTTGATCTGGTGAGGTCGACTAGAGGTGGCCGTCGACTTGGGAGTTCGACGGGCACATACAGGAGCAGCTGGTTGACGTGGTTGCCTGATCGGCCAGGTTATCTGGGTGACGAGGTTCTGCGGAGGAGTGCGACGGTCGCCCAGGCGATGTTGGCGAGACCGACCTCTGGGTGGTATCCTGAGGTCGACATGGCGAATCAGGTGCAGTTGTCAGCACGAGGATGACTTGATGTATGCGATGTGCAGGTGACGAGACTCTGCATGCCAATCATCTGCGAGCACCTGCGAAGTAGGTGCGCTGCTGTTCTGCGGGAGCAACGCTAGCACGCCGTCGACCTGCAGTATTGGCACGCCGTCACCTTTGCATTGCTGGAGCGCGATCGACCAAGTCGTGCTGGAACGCGGTCGACCAGGCTGCGCTGGCAGTAGACCGACCTGAATGCCCGCCCTGATGTAGTCTTGCCTTGCCAACCTGATTGTACCATTGTTGTCAACTTTCTCTAGTGAAACTCTTGCCAAATTGCCCCGTGATCTAGCTAGGAGTGTGTGCACTAAGAAAACGACTAAGGTGAGAAAGTTAGAACGAGAATGAAATGACTATGAACGAAGTGAGTACAAATAGGAAACCCTAATTGGGTTATAACCCCTATGGGATACCCCACTATAGCCTACACAAATAAGTAAGCTATAATGTTCTGACACACCCCCATAGGCAAAGTGGGGGAGAGCAAGGGGTCACAAGACCAGTCAAGCAAAGCTCAGGGTGGATCACAAAGTCACCACACATTCCGAGCACAAGTTCAAAGGCCAGAAGGCCAGATCACATGCAAGATCATATATATAGAGAGACAAGAGTCTAAGCAAGCAAGAGCAAGAGTATATATATATAAAAGTACAAGCAAGGTCAAGAAGTGAGCAAGTGAGGCAAGACAGGCACAAGACCCAGCTGCGTGCAGAAGCGCTGATGATCACAAGGCGCAAGTGCCTTGGTGAAGACATCAGCGGTGTTGGCCTCAGAGGCCACGTACGCAAGTCGCAACTGTCCACGCTGCTGTAGCTCACGAGCAAGAAAGTAGCGGAGAGCAATGTGCTTTGTCCTGTGCTCAAGTCGCTGCTCTCGACACAAGGCGAGCATGGCCTTCTTGTCTACGTACAGGACTGGAGGAGAACGAGGCGACTCTCCAAGGTCGGTCAGCAGGTAGGTGAGCCAGCGAAGCTCCTGGGCAGCCATAGCCCCGGCGTAGATCTCAGCCTCACAACTAGAGCCGAGAACAGAAGACGAGCGGGTAGCCCGCCACGAAACCGAGCCGGAACCAAGACTGAAGGTGTAACCCTGTGACGACCGCTGCGTAGCCTGGTCGTCAGCCCAAGAAACGTCCGCATGCCCAGTGAGGACCACTGGACTGCGCCCTCCAAGCACTAGCCCCATGCCCGACGTACTGCACAAGTAGCGCAACACCCTCTTCGCTGCAGCCATGTGCTCTGGTCGGTGTCTCCCAGGAGCAACAAAGCGTGCGAGAATGCTAAGAGGGTATGCAAGGTCAGGTCGAGTGCAGGTCATTAGGTACATGAGGCAGCCAACAAGCTCTGGATACGGGCCACTCGACTCTACGGACTCATCCGAAGGCAGAGCTGAGAGCGAGTGGCGAGTAGGCAGAGGAGTGGCCTGATGCAAGGAGTACGTGAAGCCGAAGCGCTGAAGGACCTGCTGCACCATGTGTGACTGAGTCATGGTAATGGTGCGGCGTGCTCTGTCCCGGGTGATCTGCAAGCCAAGGTAGCTGCGCAGTTCACCCAGGTCAGTGCACGTGTGTCTCTTCTACAGCTCGGACTTCACGTAGGCGAGTCCAGCAGTGTCAGCTGTGGCAAAGACCAAGTCGTCGACGTACACGAGGATGTAGAACGGCGGCAGAGAGGTGTCGGTGCGCAAAAACAGCGACGGGTCTGCAGTGGAAGGAGCAAACCCAAGAGCCGCAAGCGTAGTCCTCAGTGTGTTGTGCCACTCACGCGGCGCCTGGCGGAGACCGTAGACTGGACGCCGGAGACTCCACTGGGTACCAGGAGGGAAAGACCCAGTGAAGCCAGGTGGGCGGCGCAGCCAGATCTCCTCGTGCAGGCTGCCCTGCAAGAAAGCTGTGCTGAAGTCGAGAGAGTGCAGCTCATAGTCACGGTGAGCAGCAACGTGCAGCAGTACCCGAAGAGTGGTCATCTTCGGGGTGGGGGAGAAGGTCTGAAAGTAGTCAACTCCCTGCCGCTGACTGAAGCCACGAGCCACGTAACGCGCCTTGAAGACAGGCGGAGAACCCGGTGGCCGCTTCACCCTGAAGATCCACATGCCACTGACGATGTTCGCCCCAGGAGGGGGGACAGCGTCAACGTAGGTGCCTGTGGACTTCCAAGAAGGCATCTCTGCATCCATAGCTGCCTGCCACTGAGAGGAGTAGGGACCCTCTATCGCCTCCGCGTAAGAGCGCGGAGTCGGGTTGTCTAATGCATCCGGGTCTCCCTCAGGGGTGAGCAGTACAGACACGAGATGAGGTGAAGCGGCGGCCAGACACTAGAACTCCTCCTGCCTGTCCTCAAGGACGTCCGTGCCAAGGGCACACTCACCCCCGACGGACGGAGGACAGGCAGACTAAGACTCAGCGACAAGACTAGCAGCGTAGTCTAGACGACAGCGAGCAGCAAAGTCGACGAGCTCAGTAACAAGGGCAGACGCAGCAGTAGACTCGAAAGAAGGGTCAGTGACGGCAGTAGCAAGGAGACGCGTGACAGTAGGACTGGCAGCACGAAGAGAGTCCGACTCCGGGTCGGCAAGAGCAGGAAGAGAGGAAGCAGGAGGAGAAGGCAAAGGGGCACGCAGAGGAGCAGTAGACGGACGCGGAGACATCCGGTGCGTGCCAGGGACAGGAGGAGGACGCTGACGTGAACCGCGACCACTAGTGTGCGCAGCACGAACAGGCGACGCAGGACGAGACGCAGGCTCACGACGCTCAGTAAGACCTCCAGTCGGACCAGCGTAGGGAGAAGGAGCAGGCAAAGGGGAAGCATGCTGTAGGTGTGACTGTGACTGGACAGGCTGTGTACCCTCTAAGGGAGGAGGAGGAGGACCAGGAGAAGGTGTAAGACCAAGAACCTGCTGCAGGAGTGGAACGAAGTACGGTCGGGGCCGCGTGGCCACACCAGAAACAGCAGGGACAGCACCAGTACCCCCAGCAGGAGTACCCGCTCCAGCAGCACCTCCAGCAGCACCTCCAGTAGCTCCAGAACCCCCAGCAGCACCCCCAGCAGTCCCAGAACCCCCAGCAGCACCAGGAGCACTGCCATTCGGACCGCCAGTGGTAGTTTCAGATCCAACACCCTCAGCAGCACCAGCTCCAGTCGAACCCGCAGGCCCAGCAGCTCCAGTACTCCCAGTACGAGCACCTCCGGGACGCGCAGCAGCAGCACCCTCAGCAGCCGAAGAACATCCAGCACCAGCAGCACGCCTCCAGCGCCGGGCAAACCACTCACGCAGCTCCTGTGGGGAGAGTGGCTCTCGGCGAGACGAAGCACCTGGAGAACCTCCAGGCGAAGAACCTCCAGTCTCAGCACCCCCAGGCAAAGCACCTCCAGTCTCAGCACCCCTAGGCTCAGCACCCCCAAGCTCAGCACCCCCAGGCTCAGCACCCCCAGGCAAAGCACCCCTAGGCGTAGCACCTCCAGTCTCAGCACCCCCAGGCTCAGCACCCCCAGGCTCAGCACCCCCAGGCTCAGCACCCCCAGGCACAGCACCCC